TCACACACACACACACACACACACACACACACACACACACACACACACACACACACACAAAACTCGTTTCAGCTGTGAAAGCCACACTTGCAAAGCACCAGCTGCGATGACCTGCAAAATACTGTTGATAGATAACGAACAAGAAGGTTAAATGTGCTGGTGTGTTCACACACTCACAGAAAGCAAAACCATAACACAAGAGTGTTTGTTAGCATAGTGCACCCATGCGCTAACTTGATAAAAATACAGTTCCTGGAATTTCATTACTCCATCCAGGATTTAGTGGCCATGGCGACACGAGGAAGTGACGACAGGGAGATGGATCCAGCACTCCTGCCGGGAGGCCGTATGGAGCAAGCCAGGCACGAGATTTGACAGAAATATTGAAATTAAGAAATAACAAGACATACTCCACATCCCTAAGGCCAACAATAACCAGGGAAACAAAATGAGAAAGGAAAAAAGATTGAGAGAAATGGAAATGGAAAGAAGGCATATATCACACAACATGGAAATGGAATCTTGCCAGTAAATAACAGAAAAACATAGGCTATAAATCTAAGGCGTTTTACTTTATGATTTATATAGGACTTTGCAGCAACAAAGAGCAGGTTTTACCATGGTTTCCACCAAGACGCAATAGTTACAATTATTTTTACTACCGTAAAACAAAAATGAATTGTGATCTCTTTTATACGATATAAGCTTACTCAATTTTTTTTGTATGAGGGCAGTAGCTACAGTATTGTATTAATAAAAAATATAGTAACTATGGTATTTGGAATGTAGGGCTAAAATTTGAACGTGGAAAACCTCCAAAGGATCAACTAATGATGTGGGCTTAGGGGTGGGACTATCTACAGTATTTGTGTTTGGGAAATCTGTTTAAAACAGATGTTATTTTTGCAATTCCATTTGAATAGCAGAAATTACACATTTCATTTACAAGCAGCAGCATAATTTCTTATTTATTTAAATTGGATTTTGGATTGAAATATGACCTGGACATGCACCCCTGAGCAACTGACCAAGAGCTACTTCCTTCACGTTTTCAGCTGCGCAGAAAAACAAAAAGCTGATCATGAAACAATCATGCGTACAGAACAACTCTATGGCCTTGAACATACTGAAACATTTTATATCTTGTATGTACAGTGGATAGAAAAGCCTTAGCTGAGACTTCATTGAGAAGCTGATGAGTGATTTATCAGCATCTGACCTGAGACTGATTCACCTACTCATTACTACTAATGTGCAAACAAATATGCCTTAGTTAAATTGTGTGTGTGAACATTAAGTGACCCAACCCAGTCCAGAGAGCAGCCTGTTCACAAGGTACACCTGTACCGTGACAGCTGCTCTCTGACCGGGTCATTTGACAAATGTTCCCTATTAATGACAGTGGACGCAAGAGACACTTTCCTGTACAAGGAAAATGGGACAAAGTCCTGAAACCACAAACAACCCTGTGAAAATAATCAACTGAGACCATGCATGCTTGTGATACTGGTTGACTAAAGCCATGGTCACACTAGACTTTGAGCACCTGAAATTTTTATGGATGCTGCACCTTCGTAAACTGATGTCAAACTCTGCTCCGTCTTTTTTGAAAAACATAATTAAAAATATAATAGATTAATATATATATATATATATATATATATATATATGTGTGCAATCTACTCCACTTTAATGCAACACTGCAATCCTGCAGATTTAAAGTTTGCATTTTTTTTTATTTCAGATAAGAGGTCATGCCACGATCACGCCAAATTTCTATTGATACAAATTAGCATGGCAGAGTTGACCAAACTAGAAATTTGGAACGCAGCAAAATCCACCCGAGGCCTGTTGCACATAGCCATTTGAGTTTTTTACCCAGGTAAGTTAGTATTTAGTTTGAGCAAAGGTTGGTTGGTTTTAAAACTCTGAGTTTACAAAGAATGTTTACCGAGTGTTGTGAGCCCACTGAAGCTGTTCTAAACCAGGTTGAATTTGTTTGGTTTTGTCAACTCTAAACTTGCTCTGAAACTGAAAGAGAAAGAGTTTGTTCAGCTAGCTTCATGAATCATGCCATTGAGCTTGCGTTCGCTGTCTCCTGCATTTATAGATGTATGAATGGAAGTCAATGGAACAAAACATGCAGTGTTGCTGGCTCTTAAGCCGGGTTCAGCTCCAACTTTAATCAAACAGACCTGAACCAGCTAACTGAGATCTTCAGGAAGACTTGATAATTATAGAGGGGGTCTTTGATCAGGGCTGGAATTGAACTCTGCAGGACGGCGGATCTCCAGGAACAAGATTGGGCACCCCTGGACTAAGCTATTTATGCTAGTTAAACATTCCCAACGTATGCTGGAGGCTAGTTAAGTTTTCTTTTTTAAGTATTATGTTTTGATGCCTGTTTGGCTTAGTATAAACAGTTTTTGGGAGTAACTAACTAAAAGCAGTGACTACTAACCACATTTTTTTTCATAGCGTGAGTAGTTCAGTATTTTTCAAAGTAGTACAGCTTTTCCAGTAACACGCTGCAGCAAAAAAATCTCCATGTTTGCAACAAATATGGCTCTTATTACAAATTAGAAATGATATCATTAAATATATTTTTAATTATACCATGGTCTGTCTGAATACTCGATTCTGATTGGCTGGCAGATAACAGTTTAATGCACAGGTATGCACCGCTCTATTAATGCGCTGCTTTCATTGACGCACACAAACACACACATCACTCGCACAGAGAGAGAGAGAGAGAGAGAGAGAGAGAGAGAGAGA